TGTGTGTGTGTGTGTGTGTGTGTGTGTGTGTAGTGTAGATGTACACCTGGGTGCATTTTCTTTGGTCCTAGTACTGTTTTTTAAGAAGTACATAACCAAAGTTGAGTAAAAAAAACTTTTAAAAAGTGAATTTTGCATAATAGGTCCCCTTTAAGAAAAAGTGCCGCAAACAAATGGTTTATTAACATCTAAGCCTAAAAGTTTGTTGTTAAACTTTTATAGGAAATTTGATTGTCCACAATAAGCTGTATATTAGTGATTTGTTTTGATTCTGTAAATAAATTATCACATTTATTATTAGATCAAAGTAAAATCACTGAGTACGCTCATCTTATTGTGTTTGTCATTCAGTTTTGCATAAAGAAGATATTTCCTGAAAATAAGAGCACACAGGATAAATAAATTTCCTTCTACCTCCCGTTAGAAGAAGTGCAGTTGAATCCTCAGAACGAGTGATTCTTTGTTTAAAAACTGAAAGACTTGTTTCTCTGCAGGACAAGAAGTGGATCTTGAACCACGAGGACGTGGTGCTTGGCGAGCTGCTTGGAAAGGTGACCTCACATCCTGTTTCCTCCTAAAGTCAGTTTAAAACCGTTTGTGTCCCATCATGCACCTCTTCTCTTTGTTGTCAGGGGAACTTTGGTGAGGTCTTCAAAGGAACCTTACAACGTGACAAGATTCCAGTTGCTGTCAAAACCTGTAAAGAAGATTTACCTCCAGAGCTGAAAATACGCTTCCTGTCTGAGGCCAGGTAAACATAAACAACTTCCTGTCTGAGGCCAGGTAAACATAAACAACTTCCTGTCTGAGGCCAGGTAAACATAAACAACACACCTGTCGTGTGATTGGCTGCAGAATCCTGAAGCAGTACGACCATCCCAACATTGTGAAGCTGATTGGTGTTTGTACGCAGAGGCAGCCCATCTACATCGTCATGGAGCTTGTTCCTGGTGAGTGCAGCTAAGCTTTTGATTCTGATTCTTGTGACTGTATTTTGTTCTTCGTTGCCCCGCCCCTCAGTTTGCTACAAATCTCTGACACACTTCATGCTAACCCAACATTGTGATGCGTAAAAGTGAGGCCGCTGCAGACACTCTGCCTGGACAGACTTGTGATTTTAGATCACATTTGTTCTCAGTGGCTTTATTAAAGCATGATGTTTGGCATCATTTAGATGTTTTTATTTTATGCCGCATTATTATTTTGTTTATTTATATATTATTTGGACTGTGTTCAGTAGTACTCTTTTTTTTTTACTGTTCATTATTTTATGTATAACACTTTGGCCAATGGAAGCTGGTTTAAAATGTGACAATTGATGAAGTTAGATGTGATAACAGACTTCAAGTTAAAGTATGTTGCATTTCATGAATACTTGTTTATTGATGGAAAACCTTTTTCTAGTTTCATTATGTGTCCTGAAGCATTTACCAGGTGTGTTTGTGTATCCTGTAAATGTACCAGGGGGAGATTTCTTGTCATTTTTAAGAAAGAAGAAAGATGAACTGAAGACAAAACAGTTACTTCGCTTCTCAGTGGATGCTGCTGCTGGGATGTCGTACCTGGAGAGTAAGAACTGCATCCACAGGTAACTGGTTGAAACAGGTAAAAGGTGTAATATGATATGGGACGAGTGTGGATGTCTTTGTAAACATGTGTGTGTCTCAGGGACCTAGCGGCGAGGAACTGCCTGGTAGGAGACAACAGTGTGTTGAAGATCAGTGACTTTGGGATGAGTAGACAGGAAGATGATGGAGTTTATTCTTCATCTGGACTCAAACAGATCCCCATTAAATGGACCGCACCTGAGGCTCTGAACTATGGTAACACCTGTTCTTTAATTGTTACACACTTGTAATGTGTCTGTTCCACACCTATTTGTGTGTTTGCTTTGTTGATGTTGAGTCCTCTTTTTTTATGCACTGATCCTCAGGGCTCTTTGCTTGTCCTCACCCCGTATTTACTTCCTTTTGGATATTTTCTCTGGAAATGCTTGTATTACTGTCTAATTTCTGAAGTCAAATGTATGTGCTACTAAAACAGGTAGACCAATACTCAAACTCTGCTGAACTTTTCACATTTAAATAAACAAGACCATGGTTTGGTTGTATAAGCCCAGTGATGGTCTGACTGTCAAACCTTCTGATTTAATGCTGACTGTCTCCAACCCTCTGATTGGCTGTTGACTGTCTCCAACCCTCTGATTGGCTGCTGACTGTGTCTCCAACCTTCTGATTTAATGCTGACTGTCTCCAACCCTCTGATTGGCTGTTGACTGTCTCCAACCCTCTGATTGGCTGTTGACTGTCTCCAACCTTCTGATTGGCTGCTGACTGTGTCACCAACCCTCTGATTTAATGCTGACTGTCTCCAACCCTCTGATTGGCTGTTGCAGGACGTTATAGCTCAGAAAGTGATGTGTGGAGTTATGGCATCCTGCTGTGGGAAACGTTTAGTCTTGGAGTGTGTCCCTATCCTGGAATGACTAATCAACAGGCACGAGAACAAGTTGAGAAAGGTGAAGGCATGAAGTCAGATTTTATTCATCCTTTTTTACAATATAAAAGTGTTGTCTGGTAACTATAGAAGTATCTTCCAGGTTACAGGATGGCGTGTCCTCAGCGTTGCCCTGACGACGTATACAAAGTGATGCAGCGCTGTTGGCAGTACAACCCAGAAGATCGACCTAAATTCTCTGAGTTGCAGCGAGACTTGGCTGCCATCAAGAAGAAATAAGAAAAGCTGAWCACCAATGGCAGCCTCACTTTGTGAGAAATGAGAGTCTGACTGATTATACACAAAGTAAAGTCACATGAAGTCTTCAGCAGCTTCCTGTGTGCAGGTGGGTACTCACCTTAGAGACTGTCAATTTACAGTAAACCAACAGTAAGGTGGCAACCCAACAGTAAAGAGTCGACCCAACAGTAAAGAGTCAACCCAACAGTAAAGAGTCGACCCAACAGCAGAGTCGACCCAACACTACCCAACAGTAAAGAGTCGACCCAACAGTAAAGAGTCGACCCAACAGTAAAGAGTCGACCCAACAGCAGAGTCAACCCAACATTACCCAACAGTAAAGAGTCGACCCAACAGTAAAGAGTCGACCCAACAGTAAAGAGTCGACCCAACATTACCCAACAGTAAAGAGTCGACCCAACATTACCCAACAGTAAAGAGTCGACCCAACAGTAAAGAGTCGACCCAAGAGTAAAGAGTCGACCCAACAGTAAAGAGTCGACCCAACACTACCCAACATTAAAGAGTCGACCCAACAGTAAAGAGTCAACCCAACAGCAGAGTCGACCCAACACTACCCAACAGTAAAGAGTCGACCCAACAGTAAAGAGTTGACCCAACACTACCCAACAGTAAAGAGTCGACCCAACAGTAAAGAGTTGACCCAACACTACCCAACAGTAAAGAGTCGACCCAACAGTAAAGAGTCAACCCAACAGCAGAGTTGACCCAACACTACCCAACAGTAAAGAGTCGACCCAACAGTAAAGAGTTGACCCAACAGCAGAGTCGACCCAACACTACCCGACAGTAAAGAGTTGACCCAACACTACCCAACAGTAAAGAGTTGACCCAACACTACCCAACAGTAAAGAGTTGACCCAACACTAAAGAGTTGACCCAACACTACCCAACAGTAAAGAGTTGACCCAACACTACCCAACAGTAAAGAGTTGACCCAACAGTACCCAACAGCAGAGTCGACCCAACAGTAAAGAG